AAAGTCAAAATATTGAGTCTTCAGCTCTACACCCTTTCTATGCTACACAGCCTCTTTGTGTGTGTGTGTGTGTGTGTGTGTGTGTGTGTGTGTGTGTGTGTGTGTGTGAATGCCACCGAGGTTCTTAATCTGACCACTGCTCCAACATACAATAGCCAAAACTATATTGCTATGGAACATCCCCTATGTTCCTTTATCTTTCCATCTTGATTTCTTATTCCTACTGATCCTCAAGCCACCTTTCACTCCCTCCTGATAGTCACTATTATAGTGATCTGTGCCTTACCCAGCAAGTTTCTCCTCAGTATTTCCAGTCAATCCAGCCTACATCTCTGTTCATGGAGCAGCATTGACATCTTCCATGTTCTATTTCTGACTGTGTTGGAAATAAGTAGGAGAAGGGTTTGTGGGACAGTGTTTATAAAGTCTGCAGTCATGTAAAGTCTTAAGGCTTCACATTATATCACCATTCACACCCAGAGCAACTTCCAGTCCTGTAAGCTTCCCTCATGGTGAGTGCCCTATATAGGTGTACAGTTTTATCTTTCATACCATATTTTCACTGTACCTCTCTCTGTTTAGATACACAAATATTTACCATTGTGTTCAGTTGCCTGCACTATTCAATACAGCAATATGCAGTATAGATTTATAGCCTAGGAGAAATAAGCTATACCATATGCCCTAGGTGTGTAGTAGGCTGTACCATCTGGATTTATGTCAGCAATTTTCAACCTTTTTCATCTCATGGTACACATAAACTAATTGGTAAAATTCTGCAGCACGCCAAAAAAAATTTTTTTTCTGATCTGACAAAAAATAGGTATAATTTTTATTGATTTACAAGAAAAATAATAATAATTACCTGCCCTTTTTGCTCCAAAGTGACTTTTTTTTTTTTTATCCTCACCCAAGGACTTATTTATTTTTTTTTGCATTTATCTTCAGATAGAGTAGCAGGGAGAGAGGAAGGAAGAGAGAGAGAGAAACATCGATGTGAGAGAGACACATCGACTGGTGCCACCCACACGACGCCAACCGGGGCCCCAGGACAAACTGCAACTGAGGTACATGCCCTTAGCAGGAACCGAACCCTGGTCTCTCTGGTCCGTGGGCCGATGCTCCAACTGCTGAGCCAAACTGGCCAAGGCTCCAAAGTGACTTTAAAAAAAAAATCAGGTGGCTATACTTGTATATGAGGATTTCTGGTACCAAGAATTAACCAATCAGATGCAACCTTATTATGTACTGTGGCCAATAAGATGCAACTCTATTATATGACCTATATATTTATGGTTCAAGACAGGGCATCCACATCGGAGAGCTGTTGTGTTGGCTGTTGTCATTTTTTAAAATTTAATAATCTAAGGAAAAAGAGGTCAATACCCCTGTCTAAATAGTTAGATACTGCATGTTTTAAAAATTCCTGTGGGCCCTGGCCAGGTAGCTCAGTTGGTTAGAGCAATGTCCTGATACACCAAGGTTGCAGGTTCATTCTCCCCTCATTCTCCACACATACAAAAAGCAACCAATGAATGCATAAATAAGCGTAACAACAAACCAATGTTTCTCTCTCCTCTCACTTTCCTCTCTCTAAAATCAATCAATAAAAAAAATTCTTGTGGCACACTGGTTGAAAATTGTTGATTTATGTAAATGCACTCTATGATGTTCACATTACAAAATCAACTAATGATACATTTCTCAGAATGTATCCCTGTCAAGTTTGAGGAATTTTAAATTACCAGTATTTTACCAGCTGGTTACAAGAAGCTTAGATTTTAAAAAAGTAGTTAACTATAACATAACCTTTTTTTATATATATAATATAATTTCACCAGACACAACTGATAGCTTAATCATTAACTAAGAAAAATGTTAATTCCTGTGGTTGGGAAAAGGCTGCATAATATTTTATCCTATAATCTCTTAATTTGTTATTAATGAAAATTAATTGTTTTAGAATTTGTCTAAATAACCCAATATATTTACATTGTAGATAAGTATATGTATTTTCTGGCAGATGGCAGTCAGGTATTTCAGTAAAGGGACATTTCTAATTTAAACAAAGTCTAGTGTTAGCCCTGATTACCAATATGAAAAATTTCCAAGTACATTATTGCTGTGCCACACCTAAGAAAGGGAAAGAGGAAGGGAAGAGGTGTATATTATAGAGTTGTAACTGTCCATACTTTAAAGATATAATAGTAAATATTCATCTTTAGCTGAAGTTACTTGAGGGCTTAGAAAATGACTGTGTGGTAAAGGTCAAGCACATAGACTTTGTAGTCAGATGGCCTCTTATGTAACTGGTCACCTTAGGCAACCTGTTCAGCCTCTTTGTGTGTTAATTTTTCCATATGTAAAATGGGAATAATAGTATTTACAGGGCTGCAAGGCTATACATACTTATAGATACAATCTCTATGCTTACTATATGCCAAGTACTATTTTATCTATATGTACATGTACATGAACTCGGCATGGGAAACCCTTGAACCTTTTTTATTCAAAAAATGGTACCTGGCTAGAGGCTCAGGTACCATACCCAAGCTTAGATTTCACACAGATATCCTGATTCAGGTGAGCAGGAGAAGGGAGGCCCAGTGTATTTTGGAAAAGCTCCCTGGCTCCCAAAGTTACTCTGTATTCTTCTAACTCATCCCTGCCTGCCCAATAGTATTAGTACATCTGGCCTTGATTCTTAGCCACACCCTGCCTACCTATTAAATCTTCATTACCTGACTTGTAGTCTTTTCTAGTTCTGTCCTTCACAAGAGCTTCTAATACCCTGCTGTAGACTGATTCAGACTTTGGTGGCAGTCTGAACTTGGGCATCAGTATCTTGCATGAAAGGGTGGGGTCTAAGTCACCCTGTGTCTTTCCATTTCCTTTGAACTTCTGAGTTGCACTGAGTCTTTTTTCACCTTTCCATCTAACACATTTATTTTCTCCACAGTTTCATTTCTCATATATGTGGCAGGCCACATTACTGGAATTTACTAAAATTTACCTTGTAATAAGCTGGCCATAGTTAACATTTTGTTTATGGTTTGTTAACAATTTGAAGTAGCAATAATCTGCCTTTTGTAAAATAGTTTTCCAGAATTCAGAGGAAATACAGTTGAGATCCAGGTGCTGGGTTTTTTTTGAACTGCTTTTTAGTTGTTAATCCTCACCTAAGGATTCCTTTTCCACTGGTTGTTAGAGAGAGTGGGAGGGAGCGAGGAAGGGAAAAGAGAGAGAGAGAAACATCAATATGAGCCACACTGATTGGTTTTCTCCTGAACATGCCCCAATCAGGGCCAGAGAACCTGCAACCCAGGTACATACCTTTGATCGGAAATTGAACCTGTGACTCTTCAGTGCACAGGCCAGTTGGTGCTCTAACCAGTGAGCCACACCAGCCAGGGCCAATAGCATTTGTGTTTTCTTTTTTTTCCATTTACAATGGGCACAGCCCTGGCCGGTGTGGGTCAGTGGTTAAGAGTGTCAGCCTACAGACCAGAGTGTCCTGGGTTTGGTTCCCACTAAGGGCACGTGCCTCAATTGCAGTTTGTCCCTGCTCTGGTTGGGGCCATGTGGGCGGCAACCAGTCGATGTGTCTCTCACATCGATGTTTCTCTCTCTCTCTTACCCCCTCTTTCCCTTGCTCTATCTGAAGATGAATGCAAAAATGTCCTTGGAACAATGGGCATAAACTATAAATTTCACAGCTGTGAACTTTTAATACTCTGATGATATTTTTTAAAATTTAATTTTAGAGAGAGGAAGGAGAGAAACTTCGATGTGAGAGAGAAACATCAATCAGTTGCCTCTCATACATGCCCCCACTGGGGAATCCAACCTGCAACCTAGATCCTTTGGTGTACAGGATGACGCTCTAACCAACTGAGCCACACCAGCCAGAGCAGCTGCGAACTTTTAAAATTAGTTTGACTCAATATTGTTTATGTACTTCTTCATTCATTAAGTGGGATTAACTACCCACATAAAATGGATTTTGTTAAATTGTACCTTTATAACTAAATTTTGTGATAATTATTTGGGCCAAGAAAACTGCTAACACACACCTCTTTTTTACCAAAGCTTGGCATTATTTTTTGCTCTCTCTGCCAGCCTAAAGAACCCTCACAAGTTAATTATATTCATGACTTGTTTTATGTAATATGATAGGGACTGTGAGCTATTAAAATTCATCTGATAAGTCTGTCACTTATGAATTTTATGCTCAGGTGATTTTTATTTTAGTCAGTTAAGCATTTTTCCTCTTTATATATAGAAAAATAAGTTGAGCCCTGGCTGGTTTGGCTCAGCAGGTAGAGCGTTGGCCTGGGGACCAGAGTGTCCCGGGTTCGGCTCCTGCTAAGGACATGTACCTCAGTTGCAGTTTATCCCTGGCCCTGGTTGGGTAGAGTGGGTGGTGACCATTTGATGTGTCTCTCTCACATCAATGTTTCTCTCTCTCTTCCCCCTCTCCCTCCTGCTCTATCTGAAGATAAATGCAAAAAAAGAAATAGAAAAATAAGTTGAAAACAATTATAATCATTTGAAATTTGGTAATGTGGATGAGCATGATGATGATGTTATCCTTCAAATATTAAAATAATGAGAGTGATTTCAATATATTTGTTTTAAAATTCCCAATTTTTTTCAAGCAGCTCATACATAATTTTCTTGCCAAACATTTTGATATCTTCCTCTGTGCCCAACAAAATTGCTTTCTCGTTTGTGTTAATGTGCCACTTTGTAGAGACTTTTTTTTTTTTTTTACCAGATGCTATCATAGTTGATGGCCTGAGAGTTTTGTGTTGGACATTTCTGTGTGTACAGTGTTTACTGCAGGGTCTGGCATGATGTTTGTTATATTGTGTTGAAAATATGGGACATAGCATTTGAAATACACAACTCATATTTTGTCAAAATGACTTGTCCTTGTTAATGTTTTAAATGATGTAGAATATGTGGATTTTCTCACTTTTATTTTCTAATCTCAATAGGACTATTCAGGCTCCAACCCAAGTTCCAGTGGTTGTGTCTCCTGGGAATCAACATTTGCATACAGTAACACTCCAGACAGTGCCAATCACAACAGTTATAGCCAGCACAGATCCATCGTCAGGTGCTGGGTCTCAAAAGTTTATTTTACAAGCCATTCCATCATCACAGCCCATGACAGTACTGAAGGAAAATGTCGTGTTACAGTCTCAGAAGACGGGCTCTCCTCCTTCAATTGTCTTGAGCCCTGCCCATATACAGCAGGTTCTTACTAGCAATGTTCAGTCCATTTGCAATGGAACCGTCAGTGTGGCTTCATCTCCATCCTTCAGTGCTACTACACCTGTGGTGACCTTTTCTCCTCGCAGTTCACAACTGGTTGCCCACCCGCCTGGCACTGTGATCACTTCAGTTATCAAAGCTCAAGAAACAAAAACTCTTATGCAAGAAGTAGAGAAAAAGGAAGTTGAAGATAATTTAAAAGAAGACACTGAGAAAACTGAGCAACAGCCACAGCCTTATGTGATGGTGGTTTCCAATGCCAATGGATTTACCTCTCAGGTAGCTATGAAACAAAATGAACTGCTGGAACCCAACTCTTTTTAATTAAAATACCAAAAGAATTATGGATGATTGTTTTTTAATTGAACATTTCCAATTGAATGCAAACTGGTTCTAAGACAAATTCTAAAGACGTCCCTAATTTTGTAGTTTTTAAAATTAATAGTTAATTTTGACTGTTAGATGAGGGAGGAAAAACCAAAGTGTTTCTCTTTGTTCTCCAAATGTTTTAGAATTCAGTTGTGAAGGAACAGGCATTTTATACTATGAAGACATTCTTTTGAGATTTTTTTCAGTTGCTATATCATAAGCATTTTTAAAGTTTCTTTTTAAATTGTATTATCTTTTCTGATTCTTTTGTAAATTCAGTACTTAAATAGAAGACAACAGGAAACTTATATAGGAACTATTTTCATTCCACTTGTGTAAGTTAAGCCTTCACTCTTTCAAATGCAAGACACATATTTTATGCTTTGTTAAAATTATTATTTCACTAGATCGACTTTTAGTTGGTGACACTGCATATTGGACTATGAATATGTAAAATATAATATTAAAAATTGAAATGTGCACATGATGCTGGCTGAACCTGTTTCAGAAGTAGGGCAGTACAAAAAGCATCAGCCTAAGAGTGGCTCTCCTAAATGGTTTTGTAACCTTGGGCAAGCCTTTCGTTCTTTTTGGGCTTCAGCTCTCCTCATAAAAGGAAAGAATGTACTTGGATTAAACTAGATGATCTTCATTTTCATTTCTAGTTCTAAATTTTATGATTCCAACTCCTATTTTTAGAATTATATTTTAGAATTATTATCAATTAAAACATCAGTTTATTTTCTCATTTAAGTATAGCAAAAATACTGCAGAAAAGTAAGTGACCCCATAAATTCATTCTTCTATTATCTGTAAGATTACTATGAACCTGAATTCTTTCTAAATACTTTGTTCATTAACTCTTTAGTCCCCTGTGCACTGTGGTCAATTAGTAAACTTACACTGCGGAGTACTAAATGATACGCAATTGTTCTGAAAGAGTCATGACTCTTTCTTAAGGGTTCAGAAAGCAACCAAGCCTTGGGTTAATCTGTTTAAGTAGTCAGTTGCTATAAAAGCATAATTGCTTTATATTTTGGATCTCTTTTTTATGGGGGGGGGGATTGCATACAAAGATAATATACATGTATATCCAAGTTTCTGAAATGATTTTCAGATTACTTTTTCAACTGTAAATAATGTACATTTAATTTCACAGGAAAAATTGTTTTTGCAAATTTTCTAGTATAGGAAAGAAATTTTTGTAGATGAGAAAATCATTTTGTTTAGAGGTCTAATGTTATATGTTTTCATATTACAGAGTGAATTTGTATTTAAACAAAAATTTAAATTTTGGAATCCTCTAAACACTTTTGTATCTTTAATTGGTTTATTATTAAATAAATCATGTAAAAATTCTCAGTGTTTGTGTTTTCAAGCAAATGTTTTGTAAGAACAAATATACAGAAAGTGTTGCTAGTATTTACAGTGTTAGTAAATGCTTATATAACAAACTCCATTAGTCAGAACTGCAGAATGTCATCCTCTCATTTTTCCTTTCTACCATGCCAAATGGCAGTTTCCAGACTCACACAATGGATTACAAAGCTCCCAAAATTAGAAAACAATAAAATGTTCTCAGCGATAATATCAAACATAATTTTAAAAACAAATTTTTCTAGTTAGAAATTAGATCAGCTAATTGGTTAACAGAATAGGATAAGAGAAACAGAAAATATAAGAATAGTGCAATCTCAATCCTATATCCCTATATCCAGAAGTTACTTTCACTTATTTTCTCATGTCAGTTACTATTCTTCATATATATATATATTTTTTTTATCCTCTCCCAAGGACATTTTTCCATTTTTGTGGAGGGAGAGTGAGGGAGGGAGAGAGAAACATCGATGTGAAAGGGACACATCGAGTGGCTGCCACCCACACAACCCCAACCAGGGCTGGGGACAAACCGCAACCAAGGTACGTGCCCATAGCGGGAACCGAACCCGGGTCTCTCTGGACCACAGGCCGACTCTCAAACCGCTGAGCCAAACCAGTCAGGGCTCTTCCAAAATATTTTTTAAAAAGCATTATCTCTAAGGATGGAGAGTTGCTGAGAAGGATCTGAATGAACAGACCTTGCTGAGTTTCCCCAGTTGACCACCCTTTGCTCATCACCTTTGTTCTTTTTTCCCACAACTTTCTACTCTTCATCAAACCTAGTATAAAACCAATCATGCTTAACCATTTCTCTGAGCCTTCATTTCCTTTTGAAGGCTCCCACATCACATAAAACTTCCGTTAAATAAATTTGCATTTTTTTCACCTTTAATCTGTCTTTATCAGTTTGATTTTTAGGTCCAGCTAGAGATGCTGAGAAGGTTGAGGAAAAGTTTTTTCCTCCCCCGATCTCTATCCATTGCATTCCCTAACATAGTCTCGCCATACTGCCCTCCTGAACAGGGGCATAGCTCTCACTTAGTAATTGGCCTTTGAACATCAAATCATTGATTCAACATTTATTTATTAAGGAGAAGCACCTGTGATGTTATTGTCACTGTCCTTAACTTATAACAGTGCTGCTTTCCTCACTTTCCATTCATTTTTTTAACTCTATTTAGTATTGCATTTGCCCTCACTATGACCCTGAAATTACTGTTGCACAGATCAACTAAATAGTAATCAATTTCCATAATGCCAGATTTCCATCCTTCTCTTCCTTGACCTCTCCAGCATTTGATAACCTTTTATAACTCACTTTTCCTTGAAACTCTTGCCTTCACTTTAGTGCCCAACTCTTTCTTGTCCTTCTGGGTTTCTCCAGAGACTTTTTCAAAGGTTGAAGCTCCCCTGAATTTTATCTAATGGTCATTGTTCTTCTTTTTGCTTCACTTTGTCCCCCTCCAGTCCATTCTCCTCAATGCAACATGAGTGTCAATTTAATTATTCAAGCCCTTCAGTGGTTCCTTCCTGATTTTTTGGCATTTTCTTTTTTTGTTTGTGTTTTTTTGCATTTATTGTCAGATAGAACAGGAGGGAGAGTGAGAGGAAGAGAGAGAAACATCGATGTGAGAGAGACACATTGAGTGGTTGCCACCAACACGACCCCAACCGGGCGGGGGACAAACTGCAACCGAGGTTCATGCCCTTAGCAGGACCTGAACCCAGGACTCTCTGGTTCGCAGGTCAGTGCTCCAATTGCTAAGCCAAACCGGCCAGGGCAACATTTTCTTTTTATTTTATTTATTTTTAAAAATCCTTACCCAAGGATATTTTTCCATTTATCTTCAGATAAAGTGAGAGGGTGGAAGGGAGAGGGGGAGAGAATGAGAGAGAGACATCTATGTGAGAGAGAGAGACAATGATTGGTTGCCTCCCGTATCACCCAGACCAGGGCTGGGGACAGAACCACAACTGCAGTATGTGCTCTTGAACGGAATAGAACCTGGGACACTCTGGTCCGAGGGCCGATGCTCCAACTGCTGACCCAAACCAGCCAGGGCAGTCTTTGGCATTTTCATTTGAATTTCAGAATCAGTTTTTTTCAACTTCTTTTTTTTTATTCTCATCCGAGGACATTTTTTCCTTTTTGGTTCAGATAGAGCAGGAGGGAGAGAGAGAGAGAAACGTCGACATGAAAGGTACACATCAAGTGGCTGCCACCTGCACGACCCAACCAGGGCCGGGGACAAACCACAACTGAGGCACGCACTCCTAGTGGGAACCGAACCTGAGTCTCTCTGGGCCACAGGCTGATGCTCTAACCGCTGAGCCAAATCAGCCAGGGCTCAACTTCTAAAATGGAAAATAAACCTTGAATTTTGCTTGGTATCATGTTGAATCTACAGACTAATTTGGGAAGAACCAGCATGAGTTGGTCTTCGGACTCATGAACATAGTGTCTCTCCATTTGTTTACGTGTTCTTTAATGTCTTTCACCAATGTATTGTAATTCTCAATGTATACATTTTGCAATGCTGTATCAGATTTATTTTTCAGAACTTAACATTTTTTATGCTATTGTAAATGTCATGTTTTTTTTTTTTTAATTTCAAATGGTTTGTTGATTTTGTTTTAAAATTTTCTCTCCCATTTTATTGAAACATAAAGTGCACAAACCTTAAGTGTACCACTTGACAAAATTTTACATCTGAACACACTGGTGTAATTACCAATCAGGTCAAGCATTCTTGCATCTAAGAAGGTTCTCTCATGGCCCTTCCTACCTAAATCATCCTGTGGTGACTCTCAAAGTAGTTTTTAAAAAAATCTTTATACAAATGGAATCAATCAGGCTGTACTCTGGCTTCTTCCCCCACCCCCTTTTATTTTTAGAGAGAGAGGAACAGAGAGGGAGAGAGAGATAGAAACATTGATGAGAGAGAACATCAGCTGGCCACCTTCTGCATGCCCCCCACTGGGGATTGGGCCCACAACCTGGACATGTGCCCTGACCAGAAATCGAATTGGAGACCTATTGGTGTATGGGTCAACGCTCAACCATTGAGCCACACTGCCTGGGCCTTTGTCTGGCTTCTTTAACTCAACATTATGTTATGTGTACTCTGCCTTCAATTCATTGTGTGTACCAGCAGTTCGTTCTTTTTTTTAAAAAAAAAAATTTCTTTTCAATTACACTTGACGTAGATTATTATATTAGTTTGAAGTGTATACTCCAGTGATTAGACATTACATAACTAGGTGATCATCTCAATAAATCTCATACCCACCTGACACCATACATAGTTATTAGAATATTATTGACTATATTCCCTAGGCTGTACTTTACATCTCCATGACTATTATATAAAAACCATTTGTTTTCCATTCACCTTTTTTCACCCACCCCCACAATGCCCCCACCCAGCCTGGCAACCGTCCAAATGTTCTTTGTATCTATGAGTCTATTTCTGTTATGCTTGTTCATTTGGTTTATTTTTTTAGACTCAATTGTTGATAGATATGTATTTATTGCCATTTTATTGTTCATATATATTTTTTTTCTTCCTAAGGAAGACCCTTTAACATTTCATGTAACTCTGGTTTGGTGGTGATGAACTCCTTTAGCTTTTTCTTGTCTGGGAAGCTCTTTATCTGTCTGATTCTAAATGATAGCCTTCCTGGATAGAATAATCTTGGTTGTAGGTCCTTGCTTTTCATGACTTTGAATATTTTGTGCCAATTTGTTCTAACCCGCAAAGTTTCTGTTTAGAAATCAGCTGACAGTCTTATGGTGGGTCCCTTGTAGGTAACTAACTGCTTTTTTCTTGCTGCTTTTAAGAGTTTGTCTTTAACCTTTTGTATTTTAATTATGATGTGTCTTGGTGTGGACCTCTTTGGGTTCATCTTGTTTGGAGCTTGCTGTGCTTCCTGGACTTACATGTCTATTTTCTTCAAGTTAGGGAAGTTTCCTGTCATTATTTTTTCAAATAGGTTTTCAATTTCTTGCTCTCTCTCTTCTGGTATCCCCATGATGTGAATGTTGGTACACTTAAAGTTGTCCCAGACATTCCTTACAGTATTCTCATTTTTTAAAATTCTTTTTTCTTTTTGCTCTTCTGAGTGGGTGTTTTTGCTTCTTTATCTTCCAAATCTCTGATTTGATCCTCGGTTTTATCTACTCCACTATGTTTCCCTGTAATGTATTTTTTATTTCAGTTAATGTATTCTTCATTTCTGACTCATTCCTTTGTTGTATTTTCTAGTTTTTTTATGTTTTTTATCTCTTTGTTGAAGTTCTCAATAAGTTCATCTACTCTTCCCCTAAGTTAATTGAACATCCTTATAATCAGTGTTTTGAACTCTATGTCCTAATGTGGCCTAATGTAGGTGTTCTGTTAGGGTTTAGTAATACAACCTCCACAATCACCCAAGCTGGGTATTTGAGGTGCACCCTTTGTGTGGGCTGTGTATGCCTTCCTCTTGTAGTAGAGCCTTGATTGCTGTTGGCACATCAATGGGAGGGATTTACCCCAAGGCCAAAATGCTGCAAGGACCAGCTGAGACCACCAACTACCAACCTCTGACCCCCTTGGAGGATCAGCTGTGCAGGAGCCCATCCCACAGAACAGGACTTACTTCACCTGAGCTCTAGTGCCCACTGAGTCTGCCCCTCCAGTGTGTCACTTGTGGAGATTGTTGGGTGGTGAGGCTTCGATATGGTCTGAAGCTGTCCACTGGATGCACTGGCTTGGGGCATCCTGAGAGGTACAGGCCAAGGTCAGTCCTTTTTCTGCCCAGGGTCACCCAGCATGAGCTACCAAGCATTCTGCAGATGACTGCTACTTGCGCTGGGCTTTGAGGTGCCCAGGTGAGGCCAAGCTGTGAATCAAGGCTGGCTGCTGCTAGTGCTGGGCCCAGAGCCACTTTGGTGAGAGGTACAGGACACTCAAGAGGCCAGATGCTGCTTGTTTCAGAGATTTTAGGAAAATCTGAAGCTTGAGCCAAGACAGGTCATTTGTATAGAAAAGTGACTGGAAACAGCTTGGATACCCCAAAATTGGGTGGGGTAGGGACCCAGGGAGTCACCAGAAAGGGGTAAAAAGTGTGAGCCAGGTTGATGGAATCTCTGATATTGCACCCTCCTGCCGGATCTGGGGGGCGGGGACTCATTAAAGGAACAATGACTCCTGCCAGCACTTATGTGTGGGAGAAAGTTGTTCCCCAGCTCTCACCCTGATGCTAACAATCAGTTCCTCCTCATGTCTCTGGTGCCTTTCAAGCTGCTTCCCCAGCTCTGGAGCTCAGAGGGAGTGAGTCTGAGGAAGTCTGTGAGTGGGTCCTTTAAGAGGGACTGCCTTAGACTGCAGAAGCCCTCTGTTTCCCTTAGCCTCAATCCCTACTATTTTTATAGGCAGAAGTTGTGGGAACTTCTCTTACTGGCACTGGAACCCTGGGTTGGGGGGTATGGTGTGCGCACTGGACCCCTCACTTCTTTGGGGAGACATTTGCAGCCAAGATTCCCTCTTGATTTTTAAGCATCACACGTGGATGTGGGACCAGCCCATTCCCTGTGTCTGCCCCTCCTTCCAGTCTCGTGGCTTCTTTAATTCCCTAGTTGTAGGACTTCCATTCATCGACGTTTCAGGTGGTTCTGAATGATGGCTGTTCTGTAGTTGTAATTTTTATGCTGTTGTGGGAGGAGGTGAGTACTGTGTTTTCCTATGGCCCCATCTTCACTGGAAGTGCACAGACTGCCTAAATACTCGAGCAAGTTCCTCAGATGCAAACAGATATCTGAAAATAAAGGGGCATTCTTTCCCAACCAGTAAAAATATGTATTGACCGCAGCTCTCAGGTTGGGGAACATGGCCAGGAGCCCACTGAGAGCCTTGCAAACAGTTTGCGCAGTGTCCCTGCCGAGGCCCAACTGCCAGGTCCACAAAGGCGCACGCAGGTATACTGGGCGCCAAGCCACTCTTCCTCCATGGTAGTTCATTCTTAATCATTGCTTTTTAGAATTTTTGTCCTATAAAAGGACATTTAGGCTATGTCCAGTTTTTACTATGTGAATAATGCTGCAATCAATATTCTTTTTTTCTTTTTATCCTCACCCGAGAACATTTTTCGGTATTTTGTTCAGATAGAGTGGGGGGAGGGGGGAGAGAGAGAGAGAGAGAGAGAGAGAGAGAGAGAGAGAGAGAGAAACATCGACGTGAAAGGGACACATCGAGTGGCTGCCACCCACATGACCCAACCAGGGCCGGGGACAAATTGCAACTGAGGTACATGCCCTTAGCAGGAACCGAACCCAGGTCTCTCCGGACCGCAGGGCGACGCTCTAACCACTGAGCCAAACCGGCCAGGGCTGCAATCAATATTCTTAACGTAGGAACATAAGTACTCTTTTCTCTTGGGTATATAGCCAGTGATAGAATTATTGGGTGATAGGGTATATGTATGACTAGTGTTAGCAGATAGTGTCAAAAAGTTTTCTAAAGTAGTTATACCAAATTATACCCCACTAGCAACATATAGTGCTCTATATTCTTACCAATGCTTGATACTGTAATTCCCTTTCATTTTAACCATTCTGGTGGGAATGTTTAATACTGAATTGTGATTTTAATGTTCCTGATACAAGTAGTGATAGAGAACTTATTTTCATATGCATATTGGCCATGTAGAGAACACTGACAACCAATAAAATTCATATGAACATATTAAAGAAAAATACATATGAACATTTCAATAAAGGTATTTGATACTGAAGTTTTCCACTGATGTTATAACCAAGAAAGGCAGTCCTCATCACTGCTTCTACTCAGTACTACAGCAGACATGCTAGCCACTGACAGATGGCCAGGAAAAGAAATAAAATGTATGATTGCACAAAATAATGTTAAATCTTTATTCACAGATGACAAGATTGTGATCATAGAAATTCTAAAAGAATCTATAAAACATTAAAAATAATAAGGGAACTTAGCAAGATGGCTGACTATAAGGTCAATATGTAAAAATCAGTAGTGTTTCTATATGTTAGCAACAAATTAGTAGAATATAAAAAAATTTAAATGTCATTTAAAATAGCATAAGAAAAACAAATACCCAAGAATAAATCTAATGAAAGATACTTAACACCTATACACTGCAAACTGCAAAACACTGCTGAGAAAGACTGCCAATGTGTCTGCTTACCTGAATGTGTGTCTGCAGAAATTTAGAGAAAGTTGGCAATAATAAAGCTATGTTATGAGAATTAAAAACATTGAAGTCATTATGATCCTTGAAAATGGTTGTAAGAAAAAACAAAATAGAGGAGATTGGGTATAGAGAGAGATACCACACAGGTGTACACACAGAGGACTACAATGTGAACACACGTAGAGAAAGATGTCGTTCGGAAGTCAAGGAGAGAAACTTCGGGAAAAACCAAGCCTGTGAACACTTTGATCTTGAGCTTCCACCCGCAAGAAAATTAATTTCTATTATTAAAAACAAACAAAAAAACCACTGCTGAGAGAAATGAAAGACCACTTAAATAAATGGAGGGCTATATGATATTCATGGATTAGAGGGCTCAATGTTGAGATGTCAGTTTTCCCCAGACAGATTTATTTATTTATTTATTTATTATTTATTTATTTTTTTAATTTTTATTCTTTTGTTACAGATGTTTCTCCTTTTTTACCCCATTGGTACCCTCCTCCCCACCCCACCCCCATGCCTGGCTTTGTTGTCCATGTCCATTGGTCATGCATACATGCATATAAGTTCTGTGGTTTAGCTCCTCCCACCCCCAACCCCCTCTTCTGAGGGATGTCAGTCTGTGCCCTACTTCCATGTTTCTGGGTCTACCATATTCCTCAGACTGTTAAGTTCATTATATTACGTATATAAATGAGATCATGTGGTATTTGTCTTTTTCTGCTTGGCTTATTTCACTTAGGATAATACTTTCCAGGTCCCTCCATGTCGTCTCAAAGGATAAGAGATCTTTCTTTCTTAGAGCTGCATAGTACTTCATTGTGTATATGTACCACAGCTTTTATATCCATTCATCTACTGATGGACACTTGGGCTGTTTCCAGATGTTAGCTATTGTAAATAGTGCTGCTATGAACATGGGGGTACATATTTTCTTTCTGATTGGTGTTTCAGGCTTCTTAGGGTATATTCCTAGAAGTGGGATCACTGGGTCAAATGGAAGTTCAATTTTTAATTTTTTGAGGTAACATCATATTGTTTTCCATAGTGGCTGCACCAGTCTGCATTCCTATCAGCAGTGTACTAGAGTCCCCTTTTCTCCACACCCTCGCCAACACTTGTTGTTTGATGATTTGTTGATGGCGGCCATTCTGACAGGTGTGAGGTGATCCCTCATTGTTGTTTTAATTTGCATCTCTCTGACAATTAGTGATGTTGAGCATTTCTTCATATGTCTCTTGGCCATTTGTATGTCCTGTTTGGAGAGGTGTCTATTCAGCTCCTCTGCCCATTTTTTAATTGGGTTCTTTGTCTTCCTTTTGTTGAGTTGTTTGAGCACTCTCTATATATTGGAAATTAACCCCTTGTCTGATATATCATTGGCAATGATGTTCTCCCATACAGTGGGTTGCCTTTCCATTTTGATGATTGTTTCTTTTGCTGTGCAGAAGCTTTTTAGTTTGATGTAGTCCCATGTGTTCATTTTTTCCTTTGTTTCTGTTGCCTTAGGTGATGTATCAGTAAAAATTCTGCTCCGTATGATGTCCAAAATTTTGTTGCCTACATTTTTTTAAATTTTTTATTTTTTCCTCACCCGAGGATATTTTTCCATTTTTTGTACAGATAGAGTGGGAGGGAGAGAGAGGAAGGGAGAGAGAGAGAGAAACATCGACATGAAGGGACACATCGAGTGGCTGCCACCCGCACGACCAACCAGGGCCGGGGACAAACTGCAACCGAAGTACGTGCCCTTAGCGGGAACCGAACCCGGGTCTCTCCGGACCGCAGGCCGACGCTCTAACCGCTGAGCCAAACTGGCCAGGGCTTGTTGCCTACATTTTGTTCTAGAATTTTTATGGATTCACGGGTCACATTTAAGTCTTTTATCCATTTTGAGTTTATTCTTGTGTATGGTGTAAGTTGATGGTCTAGTTTCATTTTTTTGCATGTAGCTGTCCAATTTTCCCAACTTATTAAAGAGACTGTCCTTAAACCACTGTATGCTCTTGCCACCTTTGTCAAATATTAATTGAGCATATTGCCTTGAGTCCATTTCTGGGTCTTCAGTTCTGTTCCACTGGTCCATATGCCTGTTCTTGTGCCAGTACCAGGCTGTTTTGATTACAGTCGCTTTGTAGTATAATCTGATATCTGGTATTGTGATCCCACCTACTTTGTCCTTGTTTTTCAAAATTGCTGTGGCTATTCGGGGACTTTTTGGTTCCATATGAACTTTTGAAATATTTGTTCTAGATCTGTTCTACATCTGGTATTTTGATGGGGATTGCATTGAATCTATAGATTACTTTGGGTAGTATGGACATTTTAATGATGTTAATTTTTCCGATCCATGAACAAGGTATGTGCTTCCACTTTTTTATATCTTCCTCTGTTTCTTTTTTCAATGACCTGTAGTTTTCTGTGAAGAGGTCCTTTACTTCTTTGGTTAAGTTTATTCCTAGGTATCTTAATTTTTTTGGCACGATGGTAAATGGGATTGTTTTTTCAGTTTCTCTTTCTGTGAGTTCATCATTGATGTACAAGAATGCCATCAATTTCTTGACGTTAATTTTGTATCCTGCTACTTTGCCAAATTCATTTATTAAGTCTAGTAGATTTTTGATGGAATCTTTAGGGTTTTCTATGTATAATATCATGTCATCTGCAAATAATGACAGTTTCACTTCCTCCTTTCCAATTTGGATCCCTTTTAGTTTTTCCTCATGTCTGATTGCTGTGGCTAAGACTTCCAGTACTATGTTAAATAAGAGTGGTGTAAGTGGACATCCCTGTCTTGTTCCTGTTATTAATGGAAATGTTTTTAGTTTCTGCCCATTGAGTATGATGTTGGCTGTAGGTCTTTCATATATGGCCTTTATTATGTTGCGATATGATCCCTCTATTCCCACATTGCTGAGCGTTTTTATCAGAAATGGATGCTGGATTTTGTCAAATGCTTTTTCAGCATCTATTGATATGATCACATGATTTTTATCTTTCATTTTGTTTATGTGGTGTATCACATTTATTGACTTGCAAATATTGTACCAGCCTTGCATCCCTGGGATGAATCCCACTTGGTCGTGGTGAATAATTTTCTTGATGTATTGCTGCATTCGATTTGCTAGTATTTTGATCAGGATTTTGGCGTCTATGTTCATCAAGGATATTGGCCTGTAGTTTTCTTTCTTTTTAGTGTCTTCTTCTGGTTTTGGAATTAGAATTATGCTGGTCTCATAGAACGTGTTTGGAAGTCTTCCTTCTTCTTGAATTTTTTGAAATAGTTTGTGGAGAATGGGTGTTAGTTCTTCTTTGAATGTTCGGTAAAACTCCCCCGTGAAGCCATCTGGGCCTGGGCTTTTGTTTGCTGGGAGAGTCTTGATTACCTCTTCAATTTCCTTAGTTGTTATTGGTCTGTTCAAGTTTTCTATCTCTTCCAGGAATAGTTTTGGGAGACTCTGTGTTTCTAGAAATTTGTCCATTTCACTTAGATTGTCGAATTTGTTGCCATATAGTTGTTCATAGTAGCTGTTAACGATCTTTTGTATTTCTGTGGTGTCGATTGTTACTTCTCTTTCATTTCTGATTTTGTGTATTTGGGTTCTCTCTCTTTGTTTCTTGGTGAGTCTAGCTAAGGGTCCATAAATCTTGTTTATCTTTTTGAAAAACCAGCTCTTTGTTTCATTGATCCTTTGAATTGTTTTTTTGGTCCCTGTGTCATTTATTTCTGCTCTGATCTTTACTATTTCCTTCCTTCTACTTGCTCTGGGGTTTTCTTTTTGTTTGCTTTCTAATTCTTTAAGTTGTGAGGTTAGATAGTCAATTAGAAATTTTTCTTGTTTCTTGAGGTAGGCCTGTAGTGATATGAATTTCCCTCTCAGAACTGCTTTCACTGCATCCCATAGATTTTGTGTTGTTGTGTGTTCATTTTCATTGGTTTCCAGGAAGTTTTTAATTTTTTCCTTGATCTCCTCGGTGACCCATTCATTGTTTAATAATATGCTATTTAGTCTCCATGTGTTGAAATGTCTTTGCATGTTCTTGTTGCAATTGATTTCTAGTTTCATGCCATTGTGATCTGAGAAGATGCTTGATATGATTTCAATCTTCTTGAACTTGTAGATATTTAGTTTGTGTCCTATCATGTGGTCTATCTTTGAGACTGTCCCATGTGCACTTTAGCAGAATGTGTATTCTGTAGTTTTGGGGAGTAATTCTCTGTAGATATCTATTAAATCCATTTGGTCTAGTGCTTCATTTAGAGTCTCTGTTTCCTTGCTAATTCTTTGTCTAGAGGATCTATCCAGTGGTGTCAACGGGGTGTTGAAGTCCCCTGCTATGATTGTATTGCCATCAATTTCTCCTTGGAAGTCTTCCAGAAGATTTTTAATATATTTTGGTGCTACAATATGGGTGCATATATGTTTATCAAGGTTATATCTTCCTGTAGGATAGATCCTTTCAATATTATGTGGTGGCCTTCTTTGTCTCTAGTTATGGCCTTCATTTTGAAATCTATTTTATCAGATACGAGTATTGCTACCCCAGCTTTTTTTTTTTTGCTTTCCATTTGCTTGGAAAATTTTTTTCCATCCCTTCACTTTCAACCTATGTGAGTCTTTTGTTGTGAGGTGGGTCTCTTGTAAACAACATATAGATGAGTCATGCTTTCTCATCCAATCAGCTACTCTGTGTCTTTTTATGGGAGCATTCAATCCATTTACATTTAAGATGATTATTGATATGTACTTATTTATTGCCATTTTTGTTTAGTGTTTTCTTCCCATTTCTCCTGGTAATTACAGTAGTCCTTTTAACATTTGTTGCAGAGCTGGTTTGGTGCTAATGTAGTCCCTTAGCCTTTTTTTTTTTTTTTTGTCTGGGAAGCTCTTTATTTGACCTTCTATTTTGAATGATAGCCTTGCTGGGTAGAGTAGTCTTGGATTCAGATCCTTGTTTTTCACGACCTTGATTACTTCATGCCATTTCCTTCTAGCCTGTAGTGTTTCTTGTGAGAAGTCAGCTGAGAGACTTAAGGGGCTTCCTTTGAAGGTAACCTGTTGTTTCTCTCTTGCTGCTTTTAGGATTCTCTCTTTG